TTTCGTCGATTTTGTTGAGTCGAAAATGTCGGTCCAGATAGGGTAGCATTCTCAATTTGCATTCAATGGACCCCAGATGAATCTCAAGGGTCCATTCAAAGCTTAGGGCATTTTGCTCCAATAGCAGTTGCTGGTGCGACGCTTTAGCGGCCCTTTACTACTTTAGCGGTAGCTGCTTAAGCTGTCTGGATGCCTCTTTAAAGGAAGGGCCTCAAGGAGCGCAGACCACTTTAACGGCCAGCTGACCTCTTTTGCGGTAGCCACTTAAGTGGCCAGGGCATCTCTTTGACGGTAGGAGCCCCTTGGAGTTGGGCCGTTGTAGCGGCCAGCTTACCACGTGTCACACCCCTTTTTTTTTCCTCAAAATTAATTCAATTTAAGTTTTGAAAGAAAAAGAGTTTCTCCAATTAAAGTGACATTTTTGAAAAGGGATTATTTTATTATTCAGAGTCGCCACTTGGAATTGAGTTTTGATGTTCTAAGTCACCTTATTATTTAAACCCCTAATCAAAAGGAAATTTGACTCTTTGTTTTTATTGGTCTGCGAGAATAAAGATCGGGTAAGGAATTCTGTTGACCAAGGGGAAGGTATTAGGCACCCCTCGAGTCCCGTGGTTCTAGCACGGTCGCTTCATTGACTATATATGACTTAAATTAATTTTCAGATATTGTATTATTAACTTAACAATAAAAGTTATTTACCTCATTATTTGGTTTATTTTAAACCTATTCATATTATATTAATATATTTTTGTTAATTAAAAAAGAATGTATATCACATAAATTTATTCAAACATAATAAAGTAAAGTTAATAGATGGATATTTACAAATCTTGATTTGTCTTGTAATTTCTTTTCTTCTCCTTTTCTTTTTCATGTATTTGTATTTTTTTATTTTTTTATTTGTGGATAGAAAACATATAGGTATCTAATTGCTAGGAATTAGAATTTGTGTAGGATTGAGATTTTTTTTTGAGTTTGAGTATTTTAGGATTGTATTTTTTTTAGTTAGATTTAAAAATAGAAATAAAATTTTATGTGATCTGGAATTAGTTTTAGCAAAAAAATTCTAAATAGATTAGGACTATGTTTTAGAAAGATTTTTTCCTTCTTGATTTTTAATTTTTGTTTTCCTTACTTTTTTTTTCTTTTACGTTTTGGTTTTATCAATTTTTTTATTTTTTTAAAAAAAAATTTGTTTTGTCTCTTTGTATTATATTTATTTTTTTTACGTTTTTTTTTTCTACTTTATCCTTTATTTATTTATTTTTTTTTATATTTTTTTTTATTCTTTTTGGACACTCTGTTTCTCGTCTTCTTCTTCTTCTTTTTCTTGTTGTTTATTTTATTTTATTGTTTTAATCATCTTACGTTTTCTGTTTCATTTTTCTTTATTATTATTCTTTTCAGTTTACGTATGTTCTGTTTATATTTTATATTTTTTTTCTACTTTTCCATGATATATACGACTATTATTATTTTTTAGACTAGATAAAATTTGAAAGATTAAAACAAAAATACGTTAAATTCCAAAAGCTTTCTTTATTAAACTTTAAACATAAAGTGAGCTTATAATTTGTTGTAATTTTCAATTTATTTTAAATATAACCCTACTGAAATAATAATATTTAAGTATTAAAATTGGGCGTAAAATTTTTATGTTTTGGTCAAAAATTAGGTGTTCACAGTATGCCCCTCTTTGCTTGGAAACATGAAGAGTTTTCATGCAAAGACGTGAACACTGTGACTAATTTTTTGACCGAGACATTTATCCAAAAATGTGAAAATAAGTAAAAGAGGAGAGGTTTGACTGCGCCCTAACTTTGGACAAACTATCTATCCTGAGTTAATAATCAGGTGTAGTTCATATATAGGAAGGGACGGGAGAATAATTTTAGGTAGTCGAGTGAGGTTTTGTCGAGGTTCCGGTTCGTAGCTCCAGCTGTTACATTAAAAGGAAAAATACAATAGGAGAGGAGGGAAAGATACAAGATCATATCTACTCCACTAGTACTGAGTCTTCATTTTGAATCTTCGGTTATCGCTTCACCCTCTTTGGGTAGGTACATCGATTCCGAACTTTCATCTTGATATTTGAATTTATGATCTGAAACTTATGATTTGACTTGAGTCGTTGACGCTCTTCCGCATGATATTCTTGAATGCTTGTTTTCTCAAGAAGATGATTCATGATATGTTGAGCCGTTACATGGGTTGAAAGCGACTCTAAATGTCGTTGACATCTGACATTCTTCGTTTCTCTAATCAAAACAAGGATTTTTATTCTTGAACTTCAAATTGGTATACTAGGTAGAAACTGCACGCCATAAAACAAAACAAACAAACGAAACAAAATTTTTGCCCCAGTATGCACTAGGAAAATTTTGTGAGTTATTGATGAAAGCTATAAAAGTTTATACTAGGCATAATAATAATATACTTTTTTAAAAAATAAAGGGAGATTTGTGCCCAATATAACCAGAGGTTATTACGCCCTGTGAAGTCATAAAAAATAAGATAGGAGTTATTGTGCCTACACGCAACCAGGGATTATTGAGCCCTGTAGAGACATGAAAAAATAGGAGTTATTGTGCCCTACACGCAACAGGGATTATTGTGCCCTGTGAAGACATGAAAAAATAGGGTTATTGTGCCCTATATGCAACCAGGGGTTATTGTGCCCTGTGAAGACATGAAAAAAAAAAATAGGGGTTATTGTGCCCTATATGCAACCAGGGGTTATTGTGCCCTGTGAAGACATGAATAAAAAAATAAAATAGGGGTTATTGTGCCCTATATGCAACCAGGGGTTATTGTGCCCTGTGAAGACATGAAAAAATAAAATAGGGTTATTGTGCCCTATATGCAACCAGGGGTTATTGTGCCCTGTGAAGACATGAAAAATAAAATAGGGGTTATTGTGCCCTATATGCAACCAGGGGTTATTGTGCCCTGTGAAGACATGAAAAATAAAATAGGGTTATTGTCCCTATATGCAACCAGGGTTATTGTGCCCTGTGAAGACATGAAAAATAAAATAGGGGTTATTGTCCCTATATGCAACCAGGGGTTATTGTGCCCTGTGAAGACATGAAAAATAAAATAGGGGTTATTGTGCCCTATATGCAACCAGGGATTATTGTACCCTGTGAAGACATAAAAAATAAAATAGGGATTATTGTGCCCTATATGCAACCAGGGATTATTGTACCCTGTGAAGACATGAAAAATAAAATAGGGTTATTGTGCCCTATATGCAACCAGGGGTTATTGTGCCCTGTGAAGACATGAAAAATAAAATAGGGTTATTGTGCCCTATATGCAACCAGGGATTATTGTCCCTGTGAAGACATGAAAAATAAAATAGGGGTTATTGTGCCCTATATGCAACCAGGGTTATTGTGCCCTGTGAAGACATGAAAAATAAAAATAGGGGTTATATATATATATATATATATATTTTTTTTTTTTACTTGATCATTTATTTTATTTTATTTTTATTTTTGTACATTTTCCAAACATAAAAGAAACAAACAAAAATAAAAATAAAATAAAATGCCCCAGATTTTATTAAGAAAAATAATCTTTTTTTTTTATTGTTATCATTATTATTGTGGTGCATATTATAGGAGAGACAGGGATTCAAGAACTTACCTGGTGGCGTTTGACTCTCGCGAATTACTTGCACGATTTTTCTTTGTACCTATTTTAAAACAAAGAATATTTTGTTAGTTTTTCTAAACGGTGGTTGGTTTGTGACTTCGAATATCTTGTGGAGTTTGACTTTGAATCTGTGTTGGTTGAAAGAATCATCATATTGACGATCGGCGAATAGCTTGAAGATGCTTTAGAGACGGTCCTTATCTTCTCTTGAAACACTTCTTATGAACATTTTGACCCATTTCATTTTGTGCACGTTGTGGGGTTCATCCTTTCCAAAGCAACTTTCTTGCTTTATCGATTTTCACAGGTATCGATTTTTTGATATATATTTTTTTTCGATTGGTTCACAGCCCTAGTCAATGTTGTGGCATGCCCCCAACATTCAACTGAAAATACCGTAGTCAATTTTGCTACTTTAATATGATTTTCTCACTTGACGCGAGTTTATGCTGAATGAGACTCAAAAGAATACCGAAGACAAGTATAAATGACACCAAATAAAAGGGTTATGAAAGAAAAGTTATGTCTTTAGAAGAAGAAAATAAGTAAATGTTTAAAAGGAATGAAAAGAATCTTATCTGAAAGTACGTGACCACCTTAATGAATCATGACATGCATTTGGACTGAACATTTGATCCTTCTAAGTTGTCTGAATCTCATGAAACAATGTTGTACCTTTAAGTCTATAGCCTGACTTCTATCTTGATTGTGTGCTCATGCCAAGACGGAATGTCATCATTTGATCAATGTTGCCCTTCATGGTTTTTCACCAATAAGACATTCTTATCTCTTTCTCTCAACTTACTATCGTCTTACGGTGCCCGTGAAGGTTTTCACTCATAAGACTCTCTCATTTTTTTATTTTTTTTTTTTATTTGTAACACACCGTAGGTCACAATGTCATGTCTCAGCCCTTGGAGAATTGAAGAAACATGATTATTATTTTATTCAGTGATTAGACCGAACCCCAATGAAGGGCTGCCTACGTATCCTCTTAGGAATCAGGTCGAACGTTAGTTCAATAAAACTTTTTTTTTTTTTTTTCTCTTTCTCTTTTTCTTTTTTTTTCTTTTTTTTTTTTTTTTGCACCAGACAAGTGGTGTTTGAAATAAAGGAGGATACATTTTTATCCTCTCATCTTGAGAATGTTAATCATGAGAGTGTCATAACAAAGAGTGTTAGGCGTAGTATCTTTTGATCGAATCTGCGTTAACCAATTGTGTCGATCGCCTTTCCCTCCATATTTGCCAGTTGCAAAGCTCCTTTTGATAAGCACTGTTTAATAACATAAGGGCCTTGCCAATTTGGGGCAAACTTCCCTTTGGCCTCGTCTTGATGGGGAAGGATGCGTTTCACAACAAGTTGACCGACTTCAAAATTTCTTGGGCGTACCTTCTTGTTATAAGCTCGAGTCATCCTCTGCTGATATAATTGACCAAAGCAAATTGATGTCAACCGTTTTTCGTCTATCAGTGCTAATTGTTCTAACCTTGATTTAACCCATTCCGTGTCCTCAATTTCTGCTTCGACAAATGATTCGAAGAGAAGGGATTTCAACTTCTGCGGGTTATGACAGCCTCAGTTCCGTAAACCAATAAGTAAGGAGTTGCACCGACTGACGTACGAATAGTTGTGCGGTATCCCAAGAGAGCAAATGGTAGTTTTTTCATGCCACTGCCTAGATCCTTGCACCATTCTCCTAAGAATCTTCTTAATGTTTTTATTTGCCGCTTCAACAGCCCCATTTGCTTTGGGTCGATAAGGGGTTGAATGACGATGAACAATTTTAAATTGCTCGCAAACTTCCTTCATCAGGTGGCTGTTAAGATTCGCTGCATTGTCTGTAATAATGATTTTGGTATGCCGAAACGACATATGATGTTTGAATGAACAAAGTCCACCACTGCTTTCTTGGTGACTGATTTGAATGTGACTGCTTCCACCCATTTGGTAAAGTAGTCGATAGCAACTAAAATAAACCGATGCCCATTAGATGCTTTCGGCTCAATCGGCCCAATAACGTCCATTCCCCAAGCCACAAAAGGCCACGGAGCAGACATAGGGTGCAACTCTAAAGGAGGTGAGTGAATCAAGTCGCTATGAATTTGGCACTGATGGCACCTGCGTACAAATCGAAAGCAATCTCGCTCCATGGTCAACCAATAGTACCCTGCCCGGATAATCTTTTTTGCTAGAACATAACCGTTCATGTGAGGGCCACAAACCCCTGAATGCACCTCATTCATAATTGTTTCTGCTTCTTGAATATTCACACATCGCAATAGATTCAAATCTGGAGTCCTTTTATATAAGATATCGCCACTCAAGAAGAACCCATTGGCGAGTCGCCTGATAGTTCTTTTTTTATCTCTATCCGCATGTATTGGATATTCTTTAGCTTTTAAAAACCGTTTAATGTCGTGATACTAGGGCTCACCGTCTGGCTCTACTTCAATTATATTGCAATAACCATGTTGATCCCTAACTTGGATTTCTAACGGGTCAATATAGGTATTACCCGGGTATGGAAGCATCGAGGCTAGGGTGGCCAAAGCATCAGCTAACTCATTGTGAAACCTGGGAATGTACCTGAATTCAATGG